TTTTTTTTTTTTTTTTTTTTTTGCTTTTGTGCTTGATTGAACATGTAACTCAGAGCCCACAAGTGCTTGTAGGAGCTGTCGTTTGCAGACCCCAGCCCGGGCTTCACTCAGTACGTTACAGAATGATGTACTTGGAGCTGGGAGACAATAAGTAACTTACCAGCACAATGAATTGGGTGCGCTCTGAATTAAAAACAGCCATAGCACTGGCCTAAGCCCTGCTGGAACTCAAAACTGAGATCTGATGGTTCTGTTTTCAGGGAATTTAACAGTTAGTTGGGTAGAAAAGGTACATACCCGAAAAGTTAATATGTATAGAAGAATTTTAGGAAAATGTAAGATGACAATATGAGCTGCCTGAAAGCCTTTCTAAAATAAGACAAGGTGTTAATTAACTATAAGAGATATCATAAGGATAAGTAATTAAGTAAATATTAAATAAGGGGCTTAGATAATAAAGAAGTGAATATTAAACAAGGGGCTTAGATAATGTTGGGAGGTCACAGAGGACAATGGGAAAGACATAAAATTGTAAGTGTGACCAGATGAGGACCTTGAAAGACAAGAGTTCAGGATAGCAAAAGGTGGGGAAGAGTGATTCCACATGGAAGAAACACCTTAAGTAGAAGTATGGATGTGGGGACATGAACAAGGTGGTTCTCAGAGCAGCATAGATTGACATTATATTGAGCACTATTCTCACCAAAAAAAAAAGTAATTTTCCAGTTAGATTGAAGCTTCTGACACTTTGACAAGACACTCTTTATATATCTTTGAAACAGAGACATCTTGGCAGATTCTATTAAGATTGTCCCAATACCTTTGGAATACATTTTCTCCCTAGAAAACTGGAATATAAAGTAAATGAACCGATTTTTCCAAATGCTGTCACAAAAAGAATATAACTTTGGTTGTTTATTAAAGTATATTTGGAAACCCCCATGTTTTGGGCCTTCACTGGCCTGGATCATGACTCAAATCTCAGTTCCTGAAAAGCTATTTTTGTTCAAGTTCTAAATAATTTAGTCAAATGGGAATACAGTCAGATTTCATCCCACATGAGACACCCCAATGTTCAAACTTCATTCCCGCAGGGAGAAATGTCCTGAAAGATATAAAGATGGTTTCCACCACATGGGTTTAGTCCTTCATTCCACAAGAATTGATTGGGTTCCACTATGTGCCAGGCATCACTTTAGGCTCAGGGGACCTGACAGGAAACCAGCAGGGCAGGGTTGCTTTTCTCATGGAGCTGTAGTCTAATAAATGACCACCTCAGTTTGTCCCAGAGGATCCATCATTCTAGCACCCCTCTCTGAGCAAGATGAGTTCAAGCTCCATAGTCTTTTTTTTTTTTAAGAGAGTGTGTCATGGTGTGAGTGGGGGAGGGGCGGAGAGAGAGAGAGACACACACACAGAAACTGAAGCAGGCTCAAGGCTCTGAGCTATCAGCACAGAGCCTGGTGCAGGGGCTTGAACCCACGAACTGCAAGATCATGACTTGCAAGCTCCCTAGTCTTAACATCCCTGCATACAGGCTCAACCCAGGCAATGTTTCCCTATTCCCAGGTAAGTTCCAAAGTTGATGGTCTTTTTCCTAGCAGGGACAGAGGCCTGGCTTACTGACAAGTGGTATGGTCTTGGGAGAATGTCATAACCTCCTCTACCACTACCCTTGATGTCATACTACCGAGGCACTGGGAATTTCCCAGAACCTCTCAGCCCCAAGGCCGCTTTATTGAAGAATTATTTACTGTTGAAAATATTAGAAATGGTATTCTTGAAATGATCTTTTAAAATGCTTTTTTTCTCTGATGTTACTTCTAAGTACATATATATTTATATAATTTCAGATTTCTTCTTAGCAAGTTCAGATCAGCAACCAGGGGAGAAATCATAACTCCAAAAACTGAAAGTGGGCGGAGCTACAGCTTGGACTTAGACGGCCAAAACTTTCGGAGTTTAAAGTCCATCCCTGGTTCAGACAGGTAAAGCACATACAGATTGCACAGTGGTATAGCCTGAGAATAAGGTTGACTTATTTCCATCCAAACAGTGCTTCTAGGTACCTGTAAAGTATTTCTTCTTGGAGAACTTGTAACATAACATGAAAAGCCAGGAGGGTATTTTTCAGTTGAAATGGGAAGCACTTAGCCTTCTGGAATTACAGCTATCAGAATCATCGGTGTGATGTGTAGGGATGGGACTTGATGTTTGGGGATATACAGGGAAAATACATTCTTTTCAGTGATTTCTTGATCTTTCTCTGTTGAAGCTTCTGAAAAGAAACATGTGAGCATTAGATATAGTCCTTGCAGCTTTTTAGAAGTTATTAATAATTTCATCACTTGAACTGCTCCAGAGAATTTCCATAAATTCCACCTCTTTCTAATTCCACCTCATCCAACTTGTTATCAGTGGGGCCAAGTGAGAATCTCCTATGCCCAGGGTTATCACCTTGTCAAGAAAAGCAAAAAGAAAGGATAGCCAAGAGCATAGTCATTTCACATCAGGCTTGATTTTCTTTATCTTGTTGGGGTATAAGTCAAGGCTTATTTTCATGATTAGTGTACTATCAAAGGCAGTGATGAGAAAAAAAGATGTACCCTCATGTTTCACTGGTTTGTCCAAATGTTAATTCCCTTTCATTTTCCTGGAGTTGCAGTAATTCTACAAATCCAGCTAGTGAAGCCTCCTCAGGCTTTGTGAGCAGAATTGCATTCTCCCCTGTAATGTATTTTAGAATATGGAACAGCAAATTCCCCTAGAGAGGACCCTCTTATGACTTTGGTTTTTTCCCATGGTGGCTCTCTATACTGGTTTCTTTTTTCTCTACAGCATTGCTGCAAAGTAGTGCATTTTATGTAAAACAACACACAAAAATGAGGAAGTATAAAATCATTTATCATCCACTCTCAAAAGATCACGATATTCAGTAGTTTTCAAATTTTCAAGAATGTAGATATATTTCCTTTATGATTAAAAAAAAATCAAACCATAGTTGCTTTTGTCCTTGAAATAGTCTCCTTGACTTACCTTGGGGCAGCCCCCTGCCATGTTCCACAGAATCTTTGTATAAAAACTTCATTTTTGTTTGCGGTTGTTGAACTTCTGACTCTCAGACAGTGGTCCCCATTATTTAGAGGTAAGAACCAACTAACTTAGTGTTGCCATTTTTGCCCAGCTTCTTGGGGACTCCACAGATGAGCCATTTTGGCATAGACTTCAGGCTAATACTTAAGAGGGGTGATGTATACACACACACACACACACACACACACACACACACACCACCTGGATGGACTGGAAGCTAGCTGCAGAGGAGGCCCAGAAACAGGCCGGGCTGCCGCCACAGAGCACTGACAGCACGGTGGCCAGGGTCCCCCGACCCGGGCCTGCAGAAGCCGTCACATCTTCGGTGGCCACGGGTGCCTCTCCTGGCATCACCCTGACAATGTATTCAAGGCCCGAGAGCCACCTGGACCTCTTCAGGAGTCCAGAGGCGGCCCAGGCCCTTCCAGCTCCGGCCAGCAGATTGTCAGCCAAACGACTGGCCATCTGCTGTGGGGCCGCTCTGGGGATGGCGTCAGCCACGCTGACGGCCTGGCTGGTCATCCACATCCTGACCACCAGACACTAGCCGAGCGGCTCCGAGATGGAAAGGAGGCCAAGAGTGGCCGCGCCCACAGGCCTCTACACCTGTCCCCCTACAACAGCACCCTGGGGACCCAGTGTGGGTGGATGTACACTTTGGACCACACCTAAAAAACAAAACCTTCAGCCGGCACCTCGTGTGATGTGACAGTTCTGTCGAGCTGGCTTTTTCTTCTCTGCTCTTTAGGAGGACGTCAGCGGACTGGAGAGGGACAATCCTAGGGTTGCTTCAAATCGGGAGATTTCAAATCAAAACACAATCAGAAAAACCAGTTACCCAATTAAAAAT